CATGGTCAGGGTCACCAACCACCAGACCAGGCTGCCCAGAGCCACATCCAGCCTGGCTTTGAATGCCTCCAGGGATACAACCTCCTTGGGCAACCTGTTCCAGTGTGTCACCACCCTCTGTGTGAAAAACTTCCTCCTAATACCTAAACTAAACCTCCCCTGTGTCAGTTTAAAACCATTCCCCTTTGTCCTATCACTATCCACCCTCGTAAACAACCATTCCCCCTCCTGTTTATACGTTCCCTTCAAGTATTGGAAGGCCACAATGAGGTCTCCCCAGAGCCTTCTCTTTTCCAACACCTAACACTACTGACGTTTTACCCAACTAGCCATATTTTTGCATTTTAAAACTCTAAATGAATACTCAGTAATTGCCAACATTTTTAAAACAGGACTACTGGTCCTGAAAATGTCCTTGTGTAGTGTGGAAAAAACATAGCTAACGAGTTTGTGTCCGATGCATTTGAGATGCCAAGTGTCATGACGCATGGAAGACTGCTTTGAAAAAGCAGTTACTGTCCTATGGAAGGAACGAGAAGAGTTCTTCAAGCTCTGGGCTTTACATATGAATCTGATTCATGTGTTATACAGAATGGCTTGGGTTGGAAGAGATCATCTAGTTCCACCCCACCTGCTGTGGGCAGGCTTGCCAACCACTAAATCAGACACTATAGAACTGCTTTATCTGCCTAACATACAAATTGTTTAATTGCATTCTCTACGTAAAGAGAAACGAACATGACATTGTCTGCTCTTGACAGACTCTTACTGGCATGCTTTGAAAGAATTACCTTCACATTTTCATGTATGCCCAGGGTTTGGGTGAAAACAAATGCTGTGCCTTGGCTCCTTTCTGACACTATTCCCTTTTCAGTTACAGAGGTAGGCCTCAGCCATGACAAATGTATTATTCCTCATTCACAGGTATTTGCAGTTTACTCACACAGTAATTTTTGGCTTGTAGCACTGCCGAATGTTCAATTCCCTCTGTTTAAAAAACAGGCATAAGTGCCCTGTTAACTGTTATAATGTGATTGCCCATCTCCACAGCACATGGAAGGCCAATGTCAAAGGCAATTCAGAACTTGCACAACTCTGTCCTTTTGTGTAGCCACCAAGCCTAAAAATACAGACAGAAATAAAAGCTGGAATGATGACTGATTCAAAGTGCTATTTAAAATTCAGCCATCCACTCCTCTGATAAAACAATTTCTACTGTATATTTTTTTTTCTGAAGTGTAGCTACAACAAGGCTGCAGGTCAAGTACAACACAGCTTTGATCATCGGTTTTATTAGCTTCCCGCTGCAGCCATCTCCTGCTTGAAGCACTAAGGGATGAGAAGATGCACAGTCTGTGCTTCCGCTGCACCAACACTCGTGGCAGCCTTCCTGTGTCACATACACATCTACCTGTACCATAGACGACAGCAGTGCAGCTGACAGGCAGCAGCTACACTGTGTTTGATTGCTCAAAGAGATATGATTTAATGTACCCTCCCAAACGAAGAGGGAGAAGAGAGGGTGGCACAAATCAGCATGATCCTCAGGGCAGAAGCAAGGAAATCCAGAAACTCCTTATTGCCTGAATTAATTGTTCTGTACCAGTCAACTATTTTCACTATTCATAAAAAGTGCCATGGAATTACAGGTAATGTTCCTGTTTAATTTTAGGCTTTCCAATTTAAAAGCAGTGGCTGGAATGAGGTCACCAAGATTCACTGATTTCTGGAAACTATGAAACACTTATTCAAACAAGACCAATAGTTCAAACCTGAAGTGTTTAATAGTTTTTATTTCCTCTTGTGTTCAAAGAAAACACAACTGGCTCATGGGGAAAACGTTTCATTTTTCCTAAATTACAGTAGCTTATTGTTGACATAAAGTATTTTGTTGTAATAACTTTTAAACTGTCATCGCTAAAGCTATAATATATTTTTAACAACTTTCACAGCTCCCAGAAGTATGAGCTTGCTATTAGAGATTTTGACAAAATAAATTATGCATTTTTTAAATAACTTCACTGCACTGTAAAGAATGATGACTTTATTTTCTCAAGAAGTCATGCACTTTAGGGACTTTGCTATGTGCCACAAGGCCCAGCAAGACCTCAACTTCAATGCTTCCCTGGAAAACAGAGAGCCATAGACCCCTTCTGCTCTATGGATGGCATAACACAGAGGCAGTTCTGTAACTTCGTGCTTTAGTGGACCACCCTGGAGTGAAAACTTTCCAAAGCCAGCAATGGTTGGAGGCCTGCTTCCACCAAAGGAGCACGCTGAGCTTCGTACTGGAGTTTTCTAGACTTGATCTAACAGCACTTCTGGAAACAGCACTTTGATGCCCAAGTGTTTTACCACTTTAAAAAAAAATCTGATCTCCCATCTCTAATTTCATGATGATGTAACTACCATTTCCTTTCTTCATCTGAGGCAAAAAAAATCATGTTCCGGATGTTTGCCTCCTGAGCCAAAATATGTTTTAAAATAAAATGCTACAGCTGTCAAGGAAATCCCTGGAGTTCATGAACATACGTAAAAACGTCATTCAGGTTGGTGAGGTGCACTGTGCAAGTCAGGGTTGGGAAAGCCTGTCTTTACTGATACCTTTCATGCTGCATGTAAGATAATTTTCAGTCAACACCTACTTTGTCTAAAAGTTAAAATCTTAGCAAGTGAAACACATGAAAAGAATACTTGCACCCCAATCCTGTCCCTATTTGTGTAAGCATTATGATAGTACCTTTCACTACACAAATACATACTGCTTCTCAGATGTGGAAATATCTTGAGTATCTTTCATATACTCAAGAAAACGGCTTTTTATTTAAAGTGCTTATTAAACGACTGACCAACGCATCTCTCTCACTCCTTACAGGTATTACACTGTGTACTCTGTGCCTCTATAATTACGAGCGTTCTTAATTTACTCTGGTTTCAGAAAGATCTGTGGATGCTGAGTAATTTGGCCAAATGCTAGACATATTAACAGAACAGTGAAAGAGTTAGTCACACTTTAAAGATAGGACCCAAAATTAAATAACACTATAAAACCTTTTTGAGAGTTCTTCTGCTAAGATAGTCTCAAAAGTAATGCATGGACACAGGCGTGCCATGTTACTGTATTTGTGACTTTGGCTCTGATTACAGCTTTTACTCAACCGAGAAATATTAAAATTCTCTTAAAATTTCTCCTTAGTGGAAACATTAAAATGAAATATGAGCATTTTTTTGCCAGGGTTCTCCTAAAATGACTGACTTAAATCACACGGACCCACTCACGAGTCCAACACTTGCACAGAAATGAGTGCTGATCCCAGCACTGCCGCTCACTGCCTGCAACGCCACAAGGAGCAGCCGAGCTCCGTTGTTCTTCCAGATGTTCTCTGAACCACACTTGTAAACATTTATTCGTCGATCGTGAAATCACAGCAAGTTTATGCTAGAGTGGGCTTTAAATACCTGATTAATTCTAGAAATTACCAAAATAAATACAGGCTAAGTCTTTGCTCATTGAATAAGGATAAAGTAACTTCAAAATCCACAGCCACTGGTTGCCATGCAACCTGCTATAGTATTATGGCAGAAATAAGCTGTGCTTGAATTTTCAGTGCCCTCTCGCTCAGCCTTCTTGATGTTGTGATACTCTAATGCTTCTCAGCTAACTTCCATTAAGTAGTTTTTCGTGGGGTAGTATTCCAAGGTTAAAATGATTAAATAACTTTTATGGTTGATCAAATATAAGCCCTTATTATACACAGTAGGCAAAACCATACATTTTAATTACTTTGTTATCAAAGATCTAGGTATTTACATTTCATTTTTCAGTTATAATTCTGAATTTAGTTTGACCTTCATAAAAAAGAGAAGACCCAAAATTCTTGCTGTCTTACACAATTTTTCCCATAAACAACAACAACAACAAAACAAAAAAACCCAAACCATTAAAATGCGGTGACAGCAGAAACACTGCAGTGAGGTCTCCACTCACGCTATTACAAATAATTTAAACTGAGATATTTTATTTAAGCATCTTTCAGCTTAATTTTAAACCAGTTTAATTATTAGTGGCTTGGTGTGACATTTGCAGTCTAAGGGTGAAATATTGGTATTTGATAATATTGACATGATGTTAATTCAGAGGTCCTGTTTAGAACCATTAGTAGCACTGCTGTGCTGTGGGAACTACGTTCCATTTCATATGCTGGTATAAAAAGAACATTTTCAGGTATTCCCCTGACCTACTGACTGCTAAACGTGGTATTTTCTACAACTAAAGTATACTGATATTTATAGTGAAACATGTATTAAAACATCACAATTAAGCAAAGTTTGTATTTTGCATTTTGGGCTTCTGAAATAATTTGAGGAAGACAGATTTCAGACCAAAACATACCCAATAAGGTCTCAGATCTCCATTTTTAAGTAAAGACCAAATGCAATTCAAAATCTATACGTGAACCTCTAGAACTTGCACAGGAACAGATTTATTACAAGGACAAATATTTCAAAATAAAACTACCAAATAATGATAAAAAAAAAAGCACCAAAAATTAAAAGCCAAGAAACAAACAAGAAAGCCCAGCGCCACAACATATTTGTTTGGAAAGACTTTCGGAGTCCTCTGGAGGAAAACATTTTTTTTCTGCCAGATAGGGATTCAGTATTGCTGCTGCTTTGCTGCACGGGGTCACACAGCAGCGTTACAGAAAAAAAAAAAAAAAAAAACCCAAAAAAACAAAAAAAAACCCCAAATGTTTTAATTCTCGGAGACATTTTTTTTAAACTATTTCATTGTTCTGCCCTTCCAGACCTTCACAGCGTTTCCCACAATACACTGTTGTAAATAGGGGATATAAAAGAATAGCCGCGCTGGTGGTGGGAGGCTACGGACGTTTCTTTAAACATTATTTCCTTTCCACGGTGCATTAGTTTGTAGCTAATAAGATACCAAATAGGAAGGACGGAATTCAGAGGCAGCGGCAGCCCCCATAACCTGCAACCCAGTCCCCCAGCGGCGCAGACCCGCGATGGGAGCACGTTTCCCGTGCCGGATCGCAGCGCTGCTCGCACGCTTCGTGCAGCCGCGGCCCATCGGCTCGGGGCGGGCACCCCTCGCAGGCACCGCTGCCCCTGGCCGACGCGGCACTGGACGGTCATCTGTTTCGTTATCTCGGCAAAACAAACGGACCCAGACTGCCCCCGCCTCAACTCCCGGGTCTCAGGGCTCGGTCTAAAGTACGCTCGCAGCCCTCGGATGCAGAGACGGAGCCGGCGCAGCTCCCGCGCGGGGCAGCGGGAGCGGTGACGCCGCTGGCACGGCCCCACGGAGCGGGGCAGAGCGGCGGCGCGGCCCCGCTGCCGGCGTCGGGAGCGCGCCCCGCGCTGCGCCCCGGGCCGAGTGCTGCGGAACGGCGTCGGGGCGCGCAGCGCGCCTATCAGCGAGGGAGTGCATTTCAGCCTCTTGGCGGCCGCACATTGGACCTGCTGGGGAAATGACACTGAATAAAAGCGAGCACCGTGCTACACGGGGACGGATACAAAGCAGAAAAGAACTTGAAGGAAAAGTTTAAAGGATCTGTCATCAAAAGTTTAAATAGGCCTTTCTCCAGCCGCAGCTAAATTATTGTACTTCTTGGTTCTGTTTGCTCCTCGTAGCAATTGAAAGCATATGCAATTTAACAGCAGGCCTCAATCCTTTAATAAGCTGTCTTTAAAATACCTTACATGGATTACCTATCTGCAAATCTGCTTCCCATGCAGAATGTGACAGCATTATGGAAATTGTGAGTTCAGTAAAGATGGCATATACCAAAGAGAACCACATCTGCACACTGTAAGATTATACCAAACATTGGAAGTAATCTTTAGTCATTTATAATACTGCAGAATGCATAATTAAGATTAAGGGCTCTATTCTGCCCTTACTTATGTCCTACGTATCTCATAATTTTTTTTTTCTTTTTTTTTTTTTTTTTTTTTTTTTTTTTTGCGTAAATTAAACGGGAAGCAGCACTGCAAGGCTTTCTTGTTCACATTATGCAAAGTTGGTATTCATCTCTCTGCAATTTGGTGCACATCTGAGGAAGTTTGGCAAAAAGGGAACGATCACATATGGAGCAGAATCCCGACTAAAAAGGGCCATTCCGCGTCTGCCAAAAGGAGCCACTTGCAAGGAGCGCGCATTTTCTTATTACTTAAAGAAATTAAACAGGAAACAAAAAGGAGTCCCTCAGAGCAGGAGCTCAGTTCAAAGAGCTGCTCTGAGTCACTGCTGTGCACTGAGCCCACCTCGGCAAACGGAGACACAATGCCTTAAAGCAGTGAACGGAAGCCGAGTGGGGAGGTCTGGCGAAGGAAGGGCACAGCTCATATTCCCTAATGCCTGGCACCTATTTCAGCCCTCAGCAGTATTCAATTTCTTCTGTCATTTACTGGTGGGAGGAGCAGCAGCAGGAACACATTCTTAATTCCTGTGCTGGTGGGAAGGAAGAGGAGGAAGAAGGGAGAAGAGAGGACGAGAAGAGATGCTTTTCATGGTAACCGGGCTCCTTTGGAAGAAGCCATGTGCGCCACAGACCAGCTCCATGCCATCTCTGCATGTCCTCAGCTCCAGGAGTCTGGATAGTGTATGCTGCCTATGGTCATTCACCATGAATTTGTATTTTATCCCACACCATACAGGTTCTGTACAGTCCTCCGTCGCTGAACGCAATGACAGAGGGTCTGCCAGAGCTGTAACAAACCAGAGCAGAATCCCTTCTTACACCTTGCTTCTGTCAAATGCCTTTATGAGGTGAATGAAATTAAATGACTGTCTTATTGAAAGGCATTCATTATATTCCAGGAAACAAATTAGGAAAACACATCAGTTAGTGGCACAGTCATATAATTCATATCCTTTTTGGCCTTTTTCTTTGCTCTGGTAATTCATGAAAACCAAACAAAGGCATTTTTTTGGAATAATTTTTACTAACGACTAAGATTCACACACATGGTTAATGTCTGCTCCTTTGGAAACAGTGGCATTTCCAGGACTTGGCATTTGAGGTGGCAGATGGGGTGGAATGGAATTTGCCTCTGGGGTTGGGGCACTACATCCGTCTCCTCTGCCTGCTGCAGAACTGCTTTCTCTAAATCCCTCCTGGTGCACAGCAATAAAGATGCCATTTTCAGCAACTGACTCTGAGTTTTAGCACTTTATTTATTTTCACAATTATTACTCTGTACAAACGCTGGTCATTAATAGCAAAATACACAGCAAATACATGTGGCACACTTGTACCCCGGAGAGCCTCCAGTGCTACGCATCAGCTGCTGTGCAGCTTTCTCACAGAAGGAGCAGTTTCCACCCCCATGTGGGATCCCAGAGAACGCACCATCTTTAAATGCAGAATTAGCTGAGTAACTAACACGTTGTATGGCAAAGTAAGGAATGTTCTCCATCTCGTTAAGAGCTGAACTCGACCCTTACAAGACAATGCACTGATTTCATTACCAACAATAAACGCTAAATGCTCTGGTCAGATGCATTTTTAAAATTCTTAAAATGAAAATGGAGGAGGTGATTATATTAAAGAAAATATTCCATCTCAAAACAATCACAGATAAACTGACACATGCACAGACATCTCAGATGGAGACAACATGGAAAATCATTTCAAAAAACCCCCGACGTTCCTATATATATTTGGAACTATTCGTTCCTCACTGTGGCAGCAGCATTCATTTCCTAAACTTCTGAAATCCTCTTTATCAGCAAGATTCTCATACACTCTTAAGAGAAAGTAATGGTAACCTATCACTTTTTAAGACTACGGCTTTTGAAAACCAGACTGTCAGAGTACTGCAGGATGTACAATAAAGCGCAAACGAATGGCAGAGAGACTGGCTGGATGTTTTAATATGTTCCTAGCATCCGTGATTGTATGATTAATTTGTTCTCTCTCATACTCTTTTCAAAATGGTAGGAAAGCCTCTACCAGTTTAACATTACCACAAATTGAGATTCTGGCTCAATTTAGGGACTTTATTGCCATGGAAAGCAGATTGATAATGATTATTATTATGAATATTTGTAAGGCAACAGCTACTGCAATATTTGGCTTATATTAAAATGATTTTTTTCTTAAGTATCTTGAGTAAATGTCCAATAATCTGTATATAGTCTCACTTTTACAAAATGCCGAAAGAGATTTCCTTTTCCTGGAGAGTGCATGAAGTGTTTGAGGACTCAAACAAAACACAGACCAAAATACACATCTTACGCAGTTCCTGAATGTAATCGTGAATAGTAAGAGCTGAACATTAACAGGGCTGTCAAAATATACAGAGGCTCATCTGGCAACACTACCTGCTGCTTAAATTACTGGTGATTTTCTATTACTTCTTGATCTGAAATTTTACTGTCTGACCTCCAAAGAAATTAAAAGTTTTATAAATCTCTTGGACTGAACTGCCATAAACTGCCCAGTGGTCTTTCTGGAAAAATGAGGTTACTGGGTCACTGCATTTAATAGATGATTGCTTGAGTGAGACTTGGATCACTTATAGTTTGACAGGTTTTTGGCAAGTGCCCTTCATTTAGAAAGATATTCCCAATCTCCAGAATGAATAATTGTACTCACATCTTTCAGTGTTTTAACTAAAAGAGAGAAAAAGACAATTCATGGCTCAGTACATTTCTTACTCATTAGTAAAACCAAAAAATATTTTTCAAAGAAGGGGAAACAGGAAAAAAAGTGGTAGATTGGAATACATGGAGGAAGATCATTTTATGCTTTTGAAATTTTCCACTTCTTTTTTCCTCATTATCTCTACAGAAGTGTAGAGATACACCATGCATTTGAGTAGCTGAGTGAAAAAGCTGTTGATGAATACTGATATGTCTCATAGCAATGATTTTATTTTTTAATAAATTAAAATAATTAATTTATTTTATAACTGTTGTCAGTTCACTTACGTTGGCCAAATTCTACAGAAGGATCAACATACCAAGAACCTGCACAAAGTCTCATTTAACCTGTCCTGTTGTATACTGAGGTCACTTTATGCCCAAAAGCCAGCATTCTTATCACATTAGTGCTTTGGAACTGACTTGGCCGTTTCTCTGAAAATAATACACTGATCAGAGGGATTATTTGGTTACTCTGGGAGTTGTCTCTCACTCTAGATTTAAGGCTTTTTTTTAAGATATACATTCTGGTCAAAGATAGGAACTAATAATAATTTAGAAAAATTTTTTTAGTCTGATAGATATTTTATTTTGGTGCTGAATGAGAAAGAGCAGAATAATGAGGGCTAGAGCTGGTCTTTATGTCATTTCAAAGACTGATTTTATCTTATGGATCATTTTAATCAGTTCTTTCAACTTTCAAATGCATCTAGAAAATACATTCTGTTACTTAATTTTTAGTGCCCTTAAGAAATGATAGTCGTGTGTTGACTAGCGTTCTTCTAGCAGACCTTCCCTTAGACCTGATGGGCTGTATCAAAGTAGATTATAATAATAGAAGACAGTCATCTTTAAATCCCAAATGGGGATGATTTAAACTCTGTTTTATCTATCCATATACTTCTTTCACTACTGCTTCTCTAACAACTGAATTCTGATTTCTCACATCTGGTTTTGAAAGAATTTTTACAACATTATATTAGGTGCAAATGGGTTATTTTTTTTCAATATATTATATTATTCCAATGCATGGAGTGATTTTTTTGCAACATGTACCCTGTCATCTCTGATCTCGCAACTAATCATAAGCACTGAGAGGTGCATACAGTAGTATTTGTTCGATCATTTAGGTGTTTGACATTATCTTCTAAACGTCAGCCTCCCGCTTCCTCAAATTGTGGCAGTGTAGAGCTGCAGAAGAGATCATCTGTTCCATCCACTTGTCTCAGGACAGAATCAACAATATTCTAGTTAAACTTAGAGTTATTCCATCTAGCCTTTCTTCCCTTAAAGATCTTTACTGATGCAGACTATATAATCAGCTTTAGTGCTTCACTTTCCTTGTTCCAAACTGATTTCCAGCAAAGAAGTAGAAGATTTTTGAAATTCATAATGCTTATAGGACCCTGTAAAGCTGTGTTCATTCATTCCTCTAGAAAAAGAACTGTTTGTTCAACATTGCAGTTCCAAAAATACGACTGCCTGTATTAGAATTCCTTATTCCTTCATTTTCTTTTTAAGTGCTGCTCTGTGAAATTATTTGTGATTATGTTGATTTTGAGTCATTTATCATCACTTGCACCACCTTCCCTTTTTTTCTTAACACTGCCAATTGATTTCTCTCCTTTGGTAAGAGGACACAGAGTTGCCTTTGAAAGAAAGCACAGAAAGTCTCAGCATTCTTTGCAGATCTTTTTAACTTTTCACTTCCTGTTACAAAGGAGAAACTTCCATACCTATATCTTCCTGGCTAGAATTTTGTTATTGTTGATTACTTGGCGTTCCCAAGAGCAAAAACCTCAATTTTCCTTCTCTTCCTAATAGAAATAATGCAGGCAAAAGTAACAAAAACTTCCTGCAGCAGCACAGTGAAAGGGAGATGGATATATAAGAAAAAGAAAATTCATAAGAATTCATAAGAATTCCGAGATGTCTCTGTGTGTGGTACAAATAACTGTGCAAATAGAAATAACACTTTTTTTTTTTTTCCCCAAGGATTTTGCAGGCTTAAATGTCACACATGTAGCATGCTGAAACACACTCAGGTACCCTTTATATAGATGAAATTTAAAACTGCATCTGCAGGGACTTTGTTTTGCTTGCAGCAGTAGAGAAGACAGAATCAGTGCCACAAAACGAGTAATGCTTTGCAAAATGAGTACTTTGCCACAGAGTGGTAATCAAGACCATTATTTAACCCATGCTCACAAAAGGTACTGTTTTGTCATATGATTTACAATTTCTCTTCTCTCCTTTTCCTAGCTACTTCTGGAGTGCACTTTCTATCACTTAAAAATTTGCAGGTACTTCTCATTTCTTCCTTTTAGTCTATCTGCTCATAGACTCCTTCTCAAAAATGTCTTTAGAGCACCAGGCCTGATGAAAACCCTCTCTCTTTTTCTCTTCTGCCTCAGTTAAGATTGTAATGGGATAAGGGATCTTAGTCTAATTAAACAGCAGATACGCCTTTC